GGACAAGTACTTCTGCTTTAAGAAATGTTCAAAACCAGATTTACATTTCTTAAAAAAAATTAAGTACTAATTTAAATTAGTTGTTGGTGACATTAAAACCTTAAAAATACATCAGCATGTCAAATCATAATCCCTTTCAGAAAGAAGAAGTAAATGTTTTGATTTGTAAACAATACAACAATACAGCAGAAAGCCAGTAGTTATATGTTGGGAGGTGCAAATAATTTTCTGGGGCGTTACAATTATCCAGAGAAGCATTAAACAGAGAGTAGAATTGTCATTTTTTAAATGATTATTGTATTCTTAATGATAATAATGATAATAAAATACTGTTCATCAAATGACAAAAAAGTGGAGTGAAAACGTAGTTGGTGAAGTTTCTTTGTTTGACAGCAGTTAAAATGACGATGGTGATCGATATCTAACTGTCTAAGAGTAGCCATTTGATGTACGTGTCTTGTCCAGGAACACACTGGCACACAGCTCAAAACTGACCCAAACAGTTTTCACCCAAACAGACAGAGGCCAACATCCTCATTAAAACGGAAAAGGATGGGAGTGGACAAAACCAAGAGAATAAAAAGATGAAAGGGCAAAATATTAGATCTAGAAGAAGAGGGGAAAACTCAGAAAGTGAAAAATGTATCTTCAGAGAGAAAAGTTGATTATTGAAGTTTGTTAAACCTAGACCCCCACTGGGAACTGCCTATCAGACAAATTCCCCAGTTTTTCATTTCTCTGCCTTGCCTATTTAAAACCGTTATCTCCATCTGCCTGGCTTCTGCTAAGGGCCATGAAAAAAATCTGCTCAAAGCTCTGAGGAAGGGACATTATGCAACCGCGAGAGAGCAATCCAATCATAACCAAAATCTAATGATAACAAAAGTGAGTAAAATGCTTGATTTCCTCTAACGGTGACCAAGTGCATTGAGGCTGAAAACAGTCACCCCTGTTCTCTGTCTCACAATAAACAGCCTTGGAACATGAAGATCAGCAATGGTGAGACGTACTCAGCAAGACAGCACCGACTGATTGCATCTGTATTGCAGTGGGAATGTTTTCAAGGGATCTCGGCAAACTGGTTTCCCTCTCTTCACCCACTTTAGCCCCTGCAGAATGCTTCAAATGAAGGATATAATTCTGTTCAATCAGAGGAAAAAACAACAGTGAGACAGACTTAACCCATTAGAGCACTGGCGGCCCTGTAGCGCAAGATCCACCACACAGCACCATCTAGTGGCAAAACACCGCGAAAGAAGAAAATGATAGGAAATGTTTTTTTAATTATTATTGTTTTTGTTCTGAAGTCTCAGTGGACCGCCTACGGTTGAATTCACACACACACAAAATAGGAATTCAATAAATTAGTGGAAGGCATTTGTTTGTGTCCACTGCTGCAACAAAATAAAGACATTTGTATTATTATGAGCGCTATTGAATTTTATTATTTTTGCATTTCATTAGGCTTTATTGGATTTGAGGAAGTAAAATAAACTTCAATCCAATGCCATTTTTAACACTACAGTTATCAGTCCCAAGTCAAAATGTATTCTAAGGATCAATATAAAAGATGAGATTCTAAATGTTAATACACAAAAAATTAAAATGACCACATTTTTACATACAGTATTATCAGCCACAGTATGAAAGTCAGCACACATAAAAACAGCACATATGAATTGGCTAATAATGACAATGCCTCAATTTGAATCTTTTAGGAGATGTGTTTGTGTAAGTGATCAAAGTTTCCCAAAAATGTGGGGATATAGCACAGATGACTAGAACGTACTATGGTTATGATTAACCACATGAACTTGACTGGCCTGACCGCAGTCCAAGTCGCCCAGCCAGAGTACAGCCTTTTGGTGTAATGCAGCCATTTTTCTGCTTAGTTTTTCTGGGTTGATCATCTTGTTGATCTATCCAACCAAGCCGTGTTATCGGTCCTGTCCTTCTGACTGGTCCCCACCGTCCTACAAATCTGTTTCCAAATCTCTAATCAGCTTAGGCCGTTTGTTCTTGGTACACTTCCAGTGAATGTCTTCCAGACTTGGCTTTTCACACCCTCACTGTGCACCCTCCTGACCATTGATCTTCCTAGTGCCTGGTTTGCATCACCTATTCTCCATGCTCAAGATAAACACTCGTGTATGGACACTACTGTCTCTTAGTTAAAACTACTGAATCTTCCTTGAGCTAAGCTCTGACACTTCCGTGTTTATGAGCAGCCGAACATGAGACTACCATTTAAATACAATGGCTCTTCGATATAAATTGGTTAGGGAGATCTCATGGTTCTGCTTACTCTCTGCTCCTGCTCGTGGTAGTATAGGTGTGTATATACATATATATCTTACTAATTGTAATTTATGGCATAATTCAAATTGTTTTTCTTTACTTTGCTGAAACACCCTTAGCATCTTTATCTATCTCACCTTGAGTCAATTAAATGTCATTGTAATACATAAACTCCTGAGAATAGGCATATTTAAAGTGATTTTTGTCAGATTAAAAAATAGTCCAAAAAAATAGTCCAAGGTCATAAGCTAAAGCTACAGACACATTTAGTTATAACTCATGAAAGCGCCCTTATTGTTTTTCTGTCCTGAAGAGATCTCAAGAGCATGGAAAGTTTCACAAGAATCAGACACAAACTTATTTATAGTTCACAGGTGGTGCCAAGTGGTGTGCAGCGCGTTGACAGAGCACAGCAGCTTGCCTTCGATACACCCCTTCACTCTTCACAGCCTCAGGAGCATCTCTCAGGAGAGTAGTGACATGACCCAAAGACATGCGTACCAATCTTTCATATTCCCTCATCTCCGAAATGGACGACACGTGAACCATAGATCCAGCAGTCAAACTGGTGTAAATGGATGCAGTGGACATCCAGCGACCGTGTGAGATTTAAGGTGTCACGGTGGCTGTTGTCGTCACGGGGAAGCTCATACATACCCATCATCAACAACCCAGACAGATATGTGATAACATTGACACACGCGCACATTGACACACAAACACACAACCTCTACTCCCACTCACAAACACAAACGACACTTCACATGCTTAATATCTCCCACCTCATTAAACATTGATGCCAGAGAAGACGAAGGTGGTAGAAGCAGAAAGTGGTGGAAGATGTTCATGTCACCCTACGCAACAGTTTTTGCTTTTCTATTCTGGGCTGATGACAGGCTTCAGTTTGATGGCTCAAACAGGTTTATTAAAAATTCTCCACTTGAATTTCTTCAATAAAAGCAAGAACTCTTATGGGACCATGGATGTTCTCTCTAAAGTAATGTCAATTTGACAGTTTTCTTGAAACCTTGTGCAAAAGTTAACATGGAAATTCCATGGCCTTTGCACAAAAAATGTCCAAAATGGAAAGAATTTAAAATACATACCTGTTTATGAGATGAAGCTTTATTTTTCATCATTTTATCTCTTTAATAAGGTTGACTTTGAGTAACGATTTAATGTGGTGAATCCCTGTAATTAGAGTGTATAAACTTTTAGATTAAGCTGCTATTGATGCAGAAGCAGTGTGATCACAATGTTCATTTTTTTAATAAAAAAAACACTGATACAAATCATCATAATGTCACACACACAAGTCAGAGCCAGTCTGTGATCCCATGACATTTACTCAGTGTTTGCTGACGATGGTGCGCTATTTATGACTTGATGCATTTCAACCGAACATTAAAAATACCAGTATGTAAACCCTGGTATGTTAACAGGTTGGTGAAGGATTAAATTAATTCTCGTCCAAGGTCAAAATAAATACATTTATGGTAGTGGATTGTTTATCTGCTGCTTTTGATTGGTGATCCCGGAACCCCTGCTTGTAGCGGTGTTGTTGTTTTTTCTTCTATTCCAACAGCAGTTAAGCAGCATATTTGGAAACCACAGCTGAATCATTTACCCTGAACGAACACACAGAAACATCACGAGACCTGGGCACTATTCCTGTCGTGTTGAAATAAGGCTGGTAATTTGCTTCTTTAAGGTCTATTTTATGTGGTAGCTTCAATGTAAAGAGTCACGTCGGCATGCACAGTGTTTAAAGAAACCCAATCCCTTTAATTAAAGCTAATTTGTTATTGGCACCGTGGGGGGAGGGAGAGGCAGCAGGTGAGGCAGCAACAGGTGCTGCCATTTATTACGTTTTTTCCTATAAAATATTTTCATGTTATTTGCAAAAGCATTGGAGAGCCATAAGAAGGCCGTTGTCGAATGAGAAAATAAAATAAATAAAATGAAATTGCTCCAAGAAGAAAGATAAAACAGACTGGAGATAATATTAACAGTGACCTCCACAAACTGAGTTTTACTGTAGGGCAATTTAAGAAAATGTAACGGTCCTCTGTGCCATCGTCCTGTCAGCACCTTCACATAACTCTCTTTATCAGGTACAGAGTAATGGTTGATTATTCTGCTCCTCCTCAATAAGTGGACTTTTAGTTACAAATTACAAGTACAAAGTCCTTAATTCCTGCAGATACAGTCCAAGTAGAGTTCCAAATAAAGAGAGTGAAATCCAACATACAGCACAGCTGAGGCTGTGACATCCACAGAGAATTCACCTCTAAACTTGGGTTGCAGAGTGCACACTTCAATAGTCTGACATTTTTTTTCTGTCACTGTATCTGACAGCTCTGTATAATATCAGATATATGAACTACATAAGGTCCCTTAAGGCACAGGAACAGTTCATGAGTTGATTAGATATGAAATTAATTGACCACTGAAATCCTTTTGCTGCAGTGCATCTACCTTGCAGTTAAGTAAGCACATAAGAGACGGCGTGAGAGAGAAAGACAGGGGGGATACAGAGCTACAGAAAAAGGCAGAGAGTGGCTGCTCCACTACACAGCCTGGTGGTGCGACAGCCAAACTAATCTACAGGTCAAGTTTCTTCCTCTTTCACCATTATGGTTTTTTATAACTGGGGTTAGGGTTATCAACAAGTATTGTGCTGTTCCTGTGCTTCCTCTTACCATAGTCTCTCGTCCAATCGGAGCAGAAAAGACATATTCCAGCTGGAAGACGATGGCCACAGCCAGATGATTAATCAATCTGAGCTCCAGGCTGCTCCGAAGGCTCAACGTCTGAGGAAGGGATAAAGTTGTGGAGCTGAGGAGAAAGTCAAACAAAGCTACGTATGAATGACTGGGAGACAAAAAGGTTAAAATATGTATACAGTAAAACTCATTATCGCTCTAACATTCATTATACACCCCCAAAACATTTGCTGATAAAAAGACAAGGTCTCAAAAAATGAATTTAACATTTGGTTTTTGCATTTGAAGCAAAGGTCTCAAACTCCCCGCCCGCAGACCTTATCAACCTTCACTCTCTTATCCTCCAGCCTGTACCTGACATCACCAATTACAGAGAGTTGTGAAGAACTGAATGTTAATCGTTTCCTAGAGGGAGAATTTATACCCATTGCACAGGAGACCAGAGTTGAATTTTCCAGCGTAGTGAGACAAATATGCTTCCTATCTTCCTATCTCTAATTAAACATCTGTTATCAATAGATGATGAGTATTAGGGGTGGCTTTATACACGTCTATATACATACATGTACACAGGTGTGCGGATATGTGTAGTATGTTTTCATTCATATGCATATTTATAAATACATTATTATACATATATTCATATATATGTAAATGCACGTGTGTGCATGTGTGGAATGTGTACATACAGTATAGGTATACATATTGATTCATTTCTTTCAGTGTACCTGCAGTTGTTCTGCACATTCAAATTGTCTTATAATACATTGAATTCACCTAAAAGTGCATTATCATTAATAAGAATTAGAAGTTGTGCTTTTAGTAAAGGTTAAAACATAATCTGTTAAAATCCCCCCCATGGTACAGTATGATAAAGATGGTAGTGGCACTTGGCCATTGTGAGTTTGAAAAAAAAACTATTTAAAGAATGAGAACGAGTCAGCGCGGAAGATCTACACTCGCCTGCTAAATGTTCCCTGGCAAGCATTGGCCTCCTGTGTGAGCGGTGAAACGGCACTCTGGGTATTCGTCATTCACAGTTTGCATACTCCATAGACTGTGAAGGCATACCGCAAAGCGCTGGCATGTTAAAAGGTAAGGCCGAGTGCTTTTTTTTTTCACTCGGCTGAGTCTCTGGAGAATGGAACAACCCCCCCCCCCACCTCCACACCTCCATCCCCACCACCACCCTTTTTTGTTTCTCTCTGCAGACTGTAATCTTTGCATTTAACACAGGCAAAAGTCAGACTGTCTGCCCTCACTGTGTAGCCCCAACATTTCAAAACAACATAATTAGTGCTTACAACGAAAACATTGTACAAAAGAAAGTGTTATTCAAGAAGATTCCTTTGGTAAAAAGACAGAAATGTCCCCAAATAAATACCCAATAGTGGTTATAGTGATCATGTCAGTGAATTGTTATGCGTATGATGCAGTTAATAATGGCTGTTGATCACTTAATTATGTTAATTACAATATATGCATTTACACAAAAACTTATACACATCTATATCCTCACTACAACCTCAGCTTGTCTGTCATCTGTAACTTTGACATATGTTTAAAAAAATGTAGATTTGCCGCAGGACATTTGCATCCTATTTCAGTTAATTTGTACACAGTTTCCCACCTGGACAGAAGCTAAAAAGAACCGAGTATTTCCTAAAAGCCCTACTGTGCTGCACAGATGTGTCTACATGCAAATAACTGTTGATTTCCATATAAATGTTTGTCTGCAAGTTTTTTCTCATTCCTCCCACTGGCCTAACACATGCTGTTATTGAAGTCCTGCTGTGTATACAAGGTGGCCTCTGCAATCAACAGGCAGTGTTATCTGCTGTGGTCATAGCAGTAAATACTGCCATGCTGTCAAAACCAACTTCAGTGTACTCTGAAGTCTGGCGGCCATCTCACGTATCTGCTTTGGCAATACATACGTAGAACATTCTACTAAAACTCTACTAGAATAATATGATCAATCATAGTCTAGCTGTGGATTACTAACAATTAATCATGATTAATCATTGTGATTCACACCAGTTGTTTTTTGACTACTGTAAATGATGGACTTATAAATGAGGAAAAGTGTCAACAAAAATATACAAAAGAATAACTAGCATCAATAGTTACTTTCAAAACTTCTGGGAAGTCATTGTTCTCAACAATATTAATCTGGCTACAGTTCTTTGCAATCTGTCCGACAATTGTCAGTTATCGGATTAATACCTTAAACTACAGTAATAAACACATCATTTTGACAGCCCTAGTTTTAAAAGAGGAGAGTGTCAGGATATTACAGGATATGATAATAACAACTGTTCTTAAAGTTAGGATTATATTGTCAAGTCATTGGTTGCTGAATACAACAAAGCTTCTTTTCTTCTATTTGCCGCAAACAGAAAGCCCCTAAGGATGATGGACTACCCGGAGAAAATATAAAAGTTTTGTTTTGATGTAAAGCTGTCCATCACACAGTGGTTGTTTGGATGTTCTTTATATATAGCATTAGCCACAGGCGAGTAGACACCAGTTGTGTTTACCTGCATTACTTGCCTGAATAACCCTGGTGTGAACAAATGGTCTAGTTAAACAAACAGAGCGTCTTTCAAATGTGTCACAACCATCACATTCACTCACACTACTCACTCCTTAATCATAAGAGAATGCATTGCACAGACACAAGATGTCGGGCCGGCATCTCCATGTTTTCTTGATTTGATCATTACAAGGGTTCGAATGAATGAGAATCTAAAATGCAGTAAAATACAGACAGCTGTTTTGCGTGTGATGTATTCGCACGGCATCCCATCATCCATGACAGGAGACGGGAAAAAATGCTGCAGTTAGAGGCACACAGCACCTGCACAATGTCACCAAAACAAACGCAAAATATTTTTTAAACCAAAAGCAGTTGTGCTCAGTGGCTCAGTGAGACACCCTGACAAGTCATTAATTGGAAAATGCTGCCTGTTGTTTACTCGTGCCAATCACGGCACAGTCGGAGGTTTGCTCACTCGCTGTATTTGTCACAGGAGATACTTCCAATGATTTAACATTGTGCAGCAGGGCATTGGTGACAGCTGGTGCACGCAAAGGAAAGTATACGGCAAAACATGATGCATTGGGTAATTTCAAACTCAGCGTCACCTGTGGAGTTCATGTGAGATTTTGGAGCTGTGGAATTCCTTCACATACAGTAACTAGAATACTGAGGAATTAATAGCAAGTTGTTTTTTTAATAAACCAGCCCTTTGTATTTGAATGAACATTATTGTTTCTAAATCAAGACTGCAGCCGTTGGCTAATTTGTATCTTTTTTCTCCAGGCATATTATTGTTGTGCAACACAATGCACAAATACAATTTGAAAAGAATAGCAAATAAGAGAGACCAGCAACAGCAACAGATAAGGATAACTCCCTACGCTTTATTCCAGTTAGAAAATATGACTAAATGTGTACCACAGCAGGGCAGGGCTGGATATTGGAACCATGAGTTTCAAGCCGCCTCGAGGACTTAATGTTAAACCATCTGATATTTATTTTACTGCACATTGATTTTCCAAGAGAAAACATAAATGTACACGGTGTTTCCTTTATTGCACATAAACCCAAGGCTGGAAAAGTGTGTGGAGATGGGGGCTGGGTTCAGGGGATGTGAGCTCTTATCAGTACTAAATTGTTACAGTAAATAAGGAGGTCAATGGTCATATGACAAAGTCAAAACCAGGAATATTATGTGTTTGCTCTCATACAAAAATCAGATAACTGAAGTGTCATTGTTTCTAAAGCTAAAAGGTCATAGTTTCATAGTTGTTGTTGAAATATTGTCTTGGTGCTGTAATGTGTTACACTCAAATTGTGTATCCTTTGCTCCATGTAGCAAGGAATTCTTCTTTCAGCTGCTCCCCTCAGGGGTCGCCACAGCCAATCATCTGTCTCCATCTCGCCCCACTCCTTTGCCTCCTGTACTGTAACTCCAACCACCTCCATGTCCTCTTTCACTGCATCCATAAATCGGAGGTCTCCTGCTTTTATGTCTGCCCAGCAGCTCCATCTCCAACATCTTTTGTCCAATATATTCACTATCCATTCACACCTCCATATGATGCCTCTATTATATCTCTAAGAAAGGACAGTACAGAGCATGTTTGAATGTTTTAAGAATGAGGATCTAGTTTTTTCAACACTTGCTTATCAATATAGAAGCAACTTTCTTTGATCCATTTGTTGCATACTGACTGAATTTCCAAGTTGACTGTACACCCACACTGTACTGTCTGTACCGTATATCTGCAAGCAAGTTATTACAGAAACAGCTGTGATTTTTCTAATTTACTGCATTCTTTTCTCAGTAAACTGGCATCTACCAGATGCTTTAAAATAAACTAGAAAAAACATGTAGACTGTTTTAGTTTTTCACTACACTCTCAGTGATGTCTACCAAAAGAGAAAGGATGTTTTCTCATAAAGATTCCAAAAACATGCAGCGGTGATTAGTTCCTCATCATCAGAAAACCTACGACATGGATGTATACATTTGTAAAAGGTGTTCACCTGTCTTTACTTGGTGTGCTCAGTTTGGAGGTGCTGTCTGTCCGACCTCTGACCCCTGTTTCCACTGCCTCGAGCACCACCACTTGGGGTTTTTCAAGGAAACACCAGCCATTGTGGACACCAACATGGAGCCGTCTCTCCTGGATGACTACAGTCTTCGGTGCACCGTCTGATCCAAGCTGCTTCTGTAAAAACCGTTGTACATTCTTAGCTCCAACTTACATTTACGAACTCAATCTGAATATACTGTATGTGTTTTTTGACTGATGGTCTACAGTATGTCCAGCGCTGCATGGATCGATTTTCAAATCAAATTTAACCGACAGAATCAGAAGTCAAGCACGTGCAGTAGCAGCTTCTGTCCTGAGCCTTTTTACACAAAATCACACAGACATCACTCCTGAATCTCTTCTCAAACTGTAGATGTGATACATATACATATACATATATATATCAATATATACATGTATACATATGTATACATATATATTATCATTGTCCCATAAATGTCAATCAGTGTAAAAAGTGTTCGGCTTTTAAATGTTGCTGCTGTGGCTGTGGCACTGCAGTTCCCTGTTCACCATAAACAGCGTGGCCCCAAGTGTGGAACCACACTGATCTCGCCTCTCGTCCCACTCTCTCCCATTCGTTTCACTTCACTCATTCCCACGTCTCCCTCGTCACACGGCTCACTCCCACTCTCCCTCACTTTCCTTCTTCCAACTTAGTGCTCTCTTTCTCTCGACGTTTTAAAACCTTCTCCATATCCACCCACATCTTCTCAATCAAATTAGCATACTGATTCAGAATTGTTTTTTTCCTTCTTGTTTTCTTTTTAGAGCAGACACAGCAGCTTAGCTTGCCTGCTCACTGCACAGTCCCTATACACCTCTCTATGCTGCTGCTCTCCTTATATATCATAGTTCTGCCCTGACTGACTTGAACCCCCGCAGGTTTCCTTATGTTTTTCTTGGTGTTTATTTGCTCGTTCTCTTACTGAACAGGCAGTTTATTTGTGACCAGCAGGGTTTTTCAAATCTATCTTCTTGTGATGTAAAATATTAACTTCTGTTTCCACAAAATGAGGTAATTCCTTCCCTTCCAAAGAGTACAGACCAACCTTGTGTTTTGTTCTGAGTGCACACAAACACCACCTTGTGAATCGTTTGATGTGTGGACGTTTCCTTTCCTGTTTACCTAGGAGAGGACCAGATAACGCTGCTGCTCTATATAGATTGTGCAGTTTGTTTTGATTCGTGTCAGCTCTCATTTGCCTTTATGATTGTTACATAACTGTCTTCTAGCAGAATAAAGAGGATGAGGCTCCATTCAATTAGCATATTCTGTGTGAGTGCCAAGACTAAGATGTTCCCTCACGGAGGAGCCTACATCTCAAGTTTAAATGTGGGACTCATGCCACGGTGCATGAATCATGAGAGCCGGCATAATTACCAGAGAAAATAAAGAGAAACAAACAAAATCATTGAAACCCCACATGTGCACTGTGCCGTTGGGCTCAGGTGCTGCAAATGAGAAAAGAAAAAAAAAAAGGAATGTGGCTTACTGCGGGCTAACATGTCCTTTTTTTGTTCTTTTTGTTGCATTAATTGTTGTTGACAGTCATACAGTCTTCAACATATAGAGAAACACATTAAATGACAGAACAGTTTTTAATGTTAACTTTGATCACAAAACAAATTGGGCCCAAAATGGGGTCACAAGCCAAAAGTTGGGAGCCACTGATTTAGGACATCCATTTTAAATAGGTAAAGCTAGGTCTTTTTTAAAATAAATTGTTTCATTGCCTTTTACTGACTAATGCAAAGGGAGATTATTAGATGGATTAGTTGTGAGTGACAGTTGCGTGCACAATAGAAAATCAGGATCCACGGTAATTACTGCTCTGGATGACAATAAAATTATTATTTTGAATGTTCCCTGCACATTAGTCGACTTCTCCTCCTTCCTCTCGCTGCACGACACTAAGTGCTGGAGAAGATGACAAAGGAGCTGCTTTTCCTTGTTGGACAGGTCTACTATGAAGTGTTTCAGAAGGAAAGTAATAGACAGACAAGGAGAAAGGTGTTTGTGGGAGAACTTCAGTTAAAATGCTGATTTCTTTTACAGGCATCCATCTTCTCATCCCCATCCTCAAGTATCGCTTTCATTTATTTCATTGTTTTTTTCCTACTCTGTCAATTTCCCCTTTTCTCTACCATCTGACTCACTGTACTCTTTCTTCTCCCTCGTGCCTCTATCTGCTGCCGTCATGGATTTCTTCCTCCCTTGCCTAAAATATGAATATTTCAGAGCTAAGGAGCTTAAAGGGAACAATGAAATGGCCCCCATGTTCAATTATTCTCCATTTCTAGAGTCGTACAAGAAGGACTCTTTTGAGCGCACCGGTGCCACAAAAGTGTTTTTCCTCTTTTTACGCATACAGATGGGTTTTTATTCCCCTTGCTTTTATAGTATGTTGGGGATTTTTCACCAGATTTTGCCTTTATGATCCCTAAGCCGAGCAAAGGTCTAGTATCAAACAGCGTGGATTCTACAACCAGGACGATACAAACTTGGCCTCAAGGTTAGAAATAAACAACACTAGGGTGTTAGTCTGCAAACACTCCAAATCCTCAAATCCAAAACTAGGCAATAAAATGGGAAATGCAGTGCTTTTTGTGTCCATTTCCTCCTCTGTGTGATCCCCATCCACAGACATCTTTACAAACAAACTACATTGGACAAGCACAGGGGAAAACACATCACGTCAATTGGAGCAACTGAGTTATTTTGAAACATTTTTTGCAAAATACTTAAGGCACGCGTGACTCACATCACTCTGAGTGTCAGATTTGTGCAAGGGAAATTAAGAACAATATGTTATCGTACAGGTACGAGGTTATATATCAGTAAACCTTCTACCACAGGTGAATGTTTTATCATTTCTACCATCTTCAATTTATACCTTTTACTCTACAACAATATCAACTGATCTTTAAACTGCATTTAATTACAAAAGTATTTAGTTTAATTGAATCATTGCTTGATTATGTTGTGTTGGGAGATATGTGAGGATGAAATATTTGTATGGTTTGTTTATTTAGTTGCAGACAGTGTTGTTGTTTTTTTAATTTCGAAAAACAACTGAGCTACTTAGGGGTGAAAAACTAATTTAGTGGAAATGCAGATATAATTGGAACTGGATGAGAAATGGCAAATGGAAGACGGCTGCCTCATTTTTCGAGACTGAGGAAAATGAGTGCCGATGTTCAGAGATGGATAAATTAGTTTCTGAAGGTTATTTCTTTGTGGTGAAAGGCTGGGAGATGAGGTGAAATGGAACGTGTTCACTTTAATGGCTACAACTCGGACACGGACGGTCTATTGGTCTTGACCTTACCTTTACAAGGCAGGTTAATTGTCTGTGTTACATGAACATAACTTTCTGCAATGGGTTGTCAATTTGAACAACTGTGTATACAATGGCTATAGACTGGCAGTCTCAAACTCAAATTACCCAAAGGGCCACTGCTGCTACATCATTCTATAAGTCACCAAAAGGAGTTTCTGTTTAATATGAATACTATAAAATACCACAATTCAATACCCGAAGGGGGAAATTAAATTATTATTTACATTTGGTCATGGGCTGTATGTTTGAGTTTTGTGGACCAAAAGCGGCCCCTGATCCAGGAGTTGCAGACACGGAGAAGAATTTTGGCAAGCCATGAGGAAACAAACTAGTTCCTGTGCAAACTACTGTAGCTTTGTGACAGAATGATGGAAAATACGTCCTTATTAAGTTTATGGGAGATGGTGATGTAATCGCTAGATTCAGTAGGTTGAGGAAATCGTAAACTGAGGAACCCCGTGTTTTCCCATTTTCCTCTGGCCAGGAGCATTGCCGTTACAACTGAGTGAATGATAACTTATAGCAATTAGATGTTACTTTCTTTTTCTCGACATTTTCTAATCAATTTTGGGGGAAAGTTTTCTTACATAAGTTAAAACACAAAGATGTCATGGTTTTGTGAAAACTATATCTGCAAAGAGGGATTAAGCAGTCTGCATGAGACCTACATAGTCAGAGGTGCTGTGTAAGATAATAACAACCACAAATATGGAGCTGTCATTTAAAGGTGTGTAAGAGAGAGAAAGAGGGAGACGGTGTGAGGAAGAGACAGAAGATAAAATTGTCTCATTTGAGATTTAATAAGACTTGAAATATGCAAGTTTTACAACTGCAGCCATCATTCTCTGAGTGTTTTTTTTTTTTTTTGCAGCAGCAGCAGCAGCAGCAGCAGCAGAAGCATGTCTCTCACATAATCACACTCAACTTGTCAAAATCCTGATTGTAGACTTTGTGAAATTAGCAAAGATAACTGCCATCACTTTTACCCTGGCCCCCACTAGAAAGAGAAAATGAGAGAATGACAGATAGGACAAAGACCTTTTAAAAGCAGAGTTACATCAGCATAAGAAACACTTTCAGCAAAATAACTCACACATGTTGATATTGTAACCCTTTAGGCTGCCGTTCATTTTATTTTAATAACTTAGTCTAACTTTGGGTGACTGAAGCCACACATTTGTCGTTTAGTTTCACTGAGACCAATTTAATTAACCGTTCTGAGAGTCTGGAATTAAATAACTATTATTGTAATACTTGGCCTTATCACAAAATGACATAACATAACATCACATGTATCCCTCCACCACATGGACATTGGTTGGATTGACAAAAAAAATGTAAACTAGTTGATTTAAGCTACTTAATTATCTTAATAAAATTTTAAACCAATGTAAATGAATAAACCAAGCTGCTTTTTACTTGCCAAAAACAATACAAACAATACAATGTTTCCTACAACATACTGTGCAGTACAGCGCAGTTAAAACACCATTCTGTTGTCTAAAGAAACTGGAGCTGCAGTATTGACTGATAGCAAGACTTCTAATAAATAGGGGGTTGAAGCAAATGTCATTTTAAATTTTTTCTTAAAAAGAAAATCTGTTAAATTCTTGAGAACCCAATATATTTCATCATGATTTAAAGCCTTTGACTTGGATAACATTAGTTTTACTGTGTACTTAGTTTCCTTTATTACATTAATATTGATTTTATAAAATAAAAGCATCTGGTGTAGGGATAAAAATGATGAAAACAAACTGTTAGCCAAGATGAAACAAGATTAGGGCCAGCAGACCTAGTTGTTTATTTTTAGGGGAGCACGCCATCTAACTGAGCAGTTATGTGCCGTCACTGCGATGATGCCTCTCTATCCATTTTTGTTTCACGATGCATCTTAGAAATAATTAATTTCAGCTACAGAACTTCAGATCATTCTGAGGTTTTGTTTATCTGCATATCTATAACGACATGCCTCTGTATGTGTGTGCGTACGACAATGTGCCACTTCCCACACAGTGGATGTTAAATCCCCCATATTGAGAGTGAGTCATCCATGGTAAGAGACAGCAGCATCATTAGCATGCCACTCTCATCCTCCCACTCCCGTACTCTTTAACAGATTTTAACTGGCACAACATTCTACCCATAAATCAGCACTGCCCTGCTGCTCAAACACTCCCATAACTCACAACCGAAATATTAAGTCAAAAAAGCAGTCCTACTGCTGCCTTTTTATTTGACTCTCTATCTCATGCCTCCCAAAAGGCCTGTAATAACACACCCACAGCTGACGATGTCTGGGGAGAACAGTTAATATTTCACACAGGAAACCAGTTCAACTATTTTCTCAAAAGATTCCATCAAAATATCAAATTAAATGATAGTCCATCTCTCTTTCTGACTTCTCTTTTGTCTTTATCATGGGATTGTTTTTTAAATGTGACAAGAAAAGAAAAGTTTCTTCTCGCGTTTTGTAGCTTTACTTTGGAAGAATGATCATTACAAATTAAAGTGAGGGTCAGCAGTTACAAGCTGCATACACCAGAGCTCTGAATGTCTGTTGTAAAGCTAACAGCCATTACATCATGGCTTAAATCACCTGTTCATCTCAGCACACTGACCATAACAACTACAATATAGTCACACTTAAAATTAAGTGACCAATGATGTTTGACCACAGGCCTATAAAAGATGGATACTTTGAACACAGAGAGACGCCAACGTATGCAATAAACAGTGGATCCAATGAGTGACAAACATTATCCTCACTGACTATAATTCAGCTATGAATACTTTTACTTTTATTTCCCTCAGGTCTTTCTGAAATGTTGTTATTCTTCTAAACGTTTTTGTCGGGTTGTTTTAGGGTGTTTTTTTCTAAACATTTTTGCTACATTTGATGACTAACTTTTAGTTTACTTTTGGGCAAACTTTGCTTGAGATATGTTTTTGTGTGTTATTGTAATGATGACCCTATTCTGCATGAGTACCTTTTGTTGTAAGGTATTTGGAGGTATTGTGGGGCAATTTTTTGCACAATGTTTGTTAACTACATATTAGGCTATTTTTGAGCTACTCATTTCTGATCCTTGTGGGATTAACCTTAAGCCCTTCCTCGGCTTGTGCTCATGCATCTCTAGCAAATATAGCTGTCATAATAGGCTATCTCAGTGTTATTTTGAAAAAAAAATTAACTACCACATTGGGTAAGTCATAATTGTCTTGTTTTGATGATAAAACATTTTAAATGCAGTTAATCCAACAATCAATCACTATCAATATGCCTTTAAAATGCACTTCAATGATAAATCATAACTTTACTTTAGGAGTCAGTTTTTAAACACGTGAAACTTTACTTTGGTACCTGCATCTACACAACATATAGTTGGGATCAAATCAAAAAAGACAGACTCTAGAATTTTTAATTTGTTTGGACAGTAGGACTATCCCCCTTTTAGAAGCATAAGATACGAGGTGACGAGAAGGAGACTAATAAAAATAAAACATAAAATAAATAAAACATAAGCGCCATAAATTACAACAGCGTTCATTACCAACACCTACGTTTAGCCCATAAACACTGAATTACAATGAAAATGATCCTTGTTCAACCCAAACTTAAGGTAAGCCTAGAGTTAACACTAATAACGGACCAAAACGGCGACTCATGTAACGATTGAAACTTCAATCGTTCAATCACTAGGTGTTTTACATATTGTCTGACTTATGGAGTCTATAATCAGTCGCAGTCTATTTGATTTAATCACCGGAACATCAGTCATTATGGGGACCTGCATTTCATGAATATTTGATATGAGCCTGGTGCATTAAAATCAGCTCTTTTACACTGCAGCAGCTCCAGTGGTTACAGGCCTAATTATTGCCAGTTTGACTCAACTTTAAACGAGAGAATCCATGTTATAAAAGTGATCAAGCGTCTTAATGTTCTCTGTCGCTCCTCTAGGGCAGGCCCAGTTTTTCCACTTTCAGGACAAAAGAAAACTTCCAGAAGCCTTTGCCAGCGGAGCCTTTCTCCGTTCATTATATCAGCTGCAGGCATTTTGTTTAGCCTGCGGCGAGGCATCGGTTCTCACTTGATCCTCTCGTCATTTTCTTCTCTCGGATCTATTTGATCACCAGCCAAAATGCTGCATTACGTCTGACAAGATCTCTGCAAATATTTGTATTAAGGTGTAATTCTATTTTACTGTAGAAGTACTGTTCTGTTTAGACAAAGGCGTAGCAGGTTTCTGGATTCACTCTCAGAATGTTGGATGTTATATTCCAAAGCAATTTCTGTGTCAATACTATTCTCCATATCATAATCTGTTAACCTGTTACGACTTTTCAGCTAAAGTGTGTGTTCTTGGATTTTTCTGAAATAGGTTTTCAGGACTAAATGTTTATTTCCTCTTCAGGACACATTTTTTCTACAAATAAGACTAATACTAATAATAATACTAATATGTGGTGTTTTTGCCAAACAGCAGACATTATTAGAAAGTATGACTTTTCAAATTTGGTAAATTCATCATGCCAATCCTCATTTCTGTCGTATCTTCATTACTGTATCTCACACACATTCACACCCAGGTAAAACCTCGGCTGGCGGCTGATGTGTGATCATCACTTCAAAGACAATTTGATGACAATCCAGCTGGAGTCACACATTTAAAGTTCATGAAGACACACACAAAAACTTCTTACTGTGGATCTGTTCAACATCACACAGACACACACACACACGTGCGCGGATAGACACACACACACTTTAATTAAAAGCTGCAATCAAGCTGTCTCCTGCATATATTACCACCACTCACAGACCCGACAATGTCGTCATACAGCCAGATATAAAAGTCAGAGACATTTAACTTAGCTGCACAACTTATGCTAGTTGTGAAAAGCTTCTCACAAGATTTCACAACTGAGAAAGAAAAAAAATGTGTGAACATCCAAAATGGGAAAATGACTCATGCTTAAACGTCACTTACCTCACAACAGGCCTGGAGGGGCAAGGAAAATGAATAAAGTCTACTTTACTCTGTTCTTGTATTTTTTTTTAAGCATAGTTGACAAAGGAAGAAGTTACACCGCTAAAGTTAGACTAATTATCTCATAACTAGGATATTAAAATGGTAAAAACGTATAGCTCTTAAAATAATAGCTCACTGACACTAGAAACCAGTGGTTGTTTGGTCAGGAACCCAACAGCTCTATGAAGTGAACAACTGGTGCCAGCTCCCGTCTGAGAACCGTAGTCAGAGTCCATTAAATCGCCCTCTCTAGTTTTACTTCTTGTATTTTGTGTATGCACATGTTTCCAAGAGAAATGGGAGAAGTAAACAGGTGCTACACAGTACATGCTGAAAGAGCCTGCTGACTAAATGACTACAATTTTGGATAAAAAAAAATGAACCTCATAAAAAAGCATTTAAAGCATTTGAGATAAAAACATGAAAACAAGTGCAGTTAGAAAAAAACAAGGAATGTCTACGACACTTTCACTGCATTTTTTCAACAGATTTTCTTTTGTATTTTCTATTCATCTTTGTGAATTTTATATTACCATAATAAGGAAGGGGTTTGCTTATATTGTTATATATAAAACATGTATGTGTATATGTATATGTATGCATATATACAAGTGCATCTACATATGTATAAATACATCTACATATGTATAAATACATAAATATATATCCAATGTATTGTGTAACTCTTATGTTTAAACACAAGTGCAATTCTCTTAATGACGTAAATACGTCACGTACAATGTGTTCCTTTACATATTCTCCTCAAATAACGTCGTACTCTCTCACCCTTGGATTTTGCTTTTGTTTTATATTGTATACATTTACATTTTGTGAGATTTTTATAGGATTTGTGATGTATTTATGTGATGTGTCCCTGTACAATAACATATCGTTCTTAATTTCCCTTGCACAAATCTGACACTCAGAGTGATGTGAGTCACGCGTGCCTTAAGTATTTTGCAAAAAATGTGTCAAAATAACTCAGTTGCTCCAACTGACAATGTGTTTCCCCCTGTGCTTGTCCAGTGGAATGGAAACATAATGGGAAAGAGAACTGAAGAGACACAATTGTCAAATCAATTATCATACAACCAAAGACACATCTCTGTGGGCTGAAATGAACAGACAGTGCCTGCGCACAATCGTGGTAAAAATATTTGCGAGTCCATGGTTGCATCTGTCAAAGACAGTTAAACACATGGGATTTCTCACAGAAAAGAAAATGAGGGGAGAACAGATAAGCTCTATTTAGTTTGAAAAACAAGGTTCATCGAATGCAAGACAGTAGAAAACAGAAGGTTAGGGGGAAAAAATATCTTAAAGTTGGAGATGTGTCAAGGCCATCTTTAATTTGAGGTGTGTGGTGAAGTGATGACACAACAAAACGTCCTGGGATAAATGCTGACCTTGCATAGATCATTCTTGGACCAGTGTTGATTATTATTATTATTATTATTATTATTATTATTATTATTATACATTAATTATACAGTATTCTTTGCAACTATTCTTTGACTTATATACATTACATTGTAAAAACTATAACCTTGAGCTAAAACAAGCTTATGGTTAGAGTTAGAAATGAAATAGCTATTGTACAGCTATATGATTACTATACCAAATATTTTAAACCCTATGAATACATATGATAAGCCTATGCTTTATGTGTGTGACAGAGATAGACTACATGCAGTGTCTACAACATCATTTGGATGTGTGTGTCTTTGTCTCACCGTGTTATGGCAGTCGGCACTGATCAGCTGTAGCAGCTGGCTCTCAAACTTCTCCAAGGACGGTTGGAGGGAGATGGTTAGTCTGCTCAGGCTGAAGGGCAGCATCTTCAGCAGCTGAGGCCTGAGCAAAGAATCTCCTATTGACAATGCAAACCTGGTGTCAAACTCACATTATGACATGCTTGATGCAACTACACAAGACTTGGACCCTTCTGGGTCTGGGAAGGGAATTAATCCTCCTGTTGTTTTGGCTCAGCAATCACTGTAAAGCACCATTGATTAACATATAAATCTTGACTGATATTTAAAGAAAATTGTACAAATAAAAAAGTGATAAAGGAAACTAAATCTACTTTAATTAAAGGAAAAATAAATGACTATGGATTGGTGCCTTGGATAGTCTGGTTCAACTAGACTATATTTATAGTATTTTTAATTATTCTGAACAAATTTATAATCAAGGTTGTCCAAACTACATTACTAAATATGTGAAAAATAGTTTTACTTCACTTAAAATTTAATTAAATATAAATTAACACTAGTGGAAAAAGATGATTTGTCTCACCCAAGCAGCCTGCCTACGGCTGATGAACTGACTGACACGACTGTCTATTTGACTGTGATGACTGAATAATACTGTTCTGCACAAGGGTTTCAATTACATTTTGAAAGTAACTCTCAATGTGTTCCACAAGCAAAGTCAGGATGCACAGTAATGACTAAAATCCACCAAGAAAGATTATGTATATTAATTTTTCATACTTTCTATACCTCTTAATTTTGAATAAATTTGACACAGCTGTCTCAGATTGCCTATTACAATTATCTGAAGTATTTCTCCCATTTAGATACACATAATGAAACAGTAGCGGTTTGTAGTCCGTGAAGTCTAAAAGATCCACTTTCACAAACAAGAAGAAGAATTTTATAACCAGTGTGATTATAATCTGCTAAAATAACATCCATTCTTTTCATTATAGCCTTGAAATCAGAGGAAAGGAATGCAGCGCAAATACGCAGAAAGTAGCTGGTCTTAAAGGCAGCTTAGGTCTGTACTGCTCACAGCCCCAGAACATGAAGAGGATTAGCTTGCTCCCATACCTCCCACTGACTACCACTGATAATAGCTTTGCATCGTCAGACTTCATTACATTCCCCTGTTAGAAATGCACTTCCTAAGTACTACAGATTTTTGGAATCCATTCACTTTTATCTGAGTTTAAAAAAAAAAAGTTTAACTTCAACTAGAGGTCAAACATCATGCTAGGAGTTTTGTTTATTCTTTCAACCTATGTATACTGTTGGAGATGTACCTGTAGGAGAAGCACAGAGCCCAGGAATGTCCTCGTCTCCAGATACAAAGACATTTTCCGGTAGCAGGTGCATCACAGAAGTCAACGCAGGGTGTTTTTTCACTGCACAATCTAAATGTGCACCGTCGACAGTCTTGAGGAAAATGCCATCTGCAAAAGAAACATGCATGCGACATATTAACACAACATATTACACGCTTTTCATGGAGAATGCAAATGTGTTTTGATGTGATTTTCAGTCCCTCCATCATTTCCAATGATATGTCATCTATCTGATTGATGCATCGTGGTCTAACATTTCTTTAGAAGCACTCAGTTGTCTGACAACATGACACATAACATGCAAACGCTACCATCTTTCAATATTCCATTCGGCTGTTTGTGACCCAAGTGCAACGTTCCATTACAGTGCGAAAGTCATTTTCATGTGCTCGAGTGAAATGACATACACGCAAATGGGTTAGGCTTTTTCATCTCTCCAACAGGTCATCCAGAGAGAAGTGACAAGCCACAATTTCTACCATCAACACAAAAGCATGTACCATTTGAAGGCTAAGCAGTGTGATGTCTGAGGCGCTGATTGTGTTGCCTTCCATCAGGACCTGAACCAGCAACACAATCTGTCAGTCTGACAGGGTTAATGATGGCACCTACAGCACCATCACTGACAATCAATACAACAGGGCCATTCACTCCACAACATTGATGTTTCAACAGGTCGACAAGAAAAAAATTCTAAATGAGAGTCATTGTAGGTAGTGGAATATGGGTGGAGTCTGAAGGATGTTCAGAACTACCTCTGTTGCAGGTTACGGAGGCTGGAACTGTTTTTGTTTTTCAGGTTTATATTGAAATACTGGACACACTATGGAGAAAATATCTTTACTTACAGCAAGAACATCTCCAGGCTTTCTTTATGGAGTTGGATGTTCTTGTGTTTGTTGGGTAGGTAGGTTGGTTGGTTGGTTGGTTGAATGGATGGATGGATGGATGGAGAGGTAGATTGATAGATAGGTAGATTTCACAGAGGCATAACTGTGTTCTGTTCTTGTTTACAGTTAATAAATGAGGATTTATTTTCGTTGAAATCCTTCTTTCTCTACTTTTTGGGCAGAGCCACAGCCCACGCAGGGAATCAAAGAGAGATTGATGGACTATAACTCTGCATTCGATTCTCCACACTTTCCGTGACTTTGCCGACTCAACTTCTTCCAAGAGTGAACATAGCACTAATAGT